TCACAGCCTGCTGGTGGTACACACCAGCAGTTCAGCTAGTAGGGTTTAGTGAGTAGGGTTTAGGATTTAAGGTTTGGGGTTTAGGATTTTGGAATGAGAGTTGGTGGGCGGTTCAGGGATAAAAGTTTAGGGCCACATAATGGTTGCTTTTACCAACGGAGAACACATGGAAAAGAAAAAGGATATTGCTTTGAAACTCAGGCTCTCTGGGATGTAGGCTGTTGACCGATGAAGCCTGAATCTTTACCAACTTTACGACGGTATGACCCCTACGTAGCAATAGTATAGTAAGAGTATTGTCTCTAATCCGTGCATAGCTATAGCATATTATTATGCCTTAAAGCCCTGTTCTAATTATTTGCACCACCATTTTGTCAATCCCGCATCGCTGGATTAAGTCCCTTCATAGGTAATATTTGCACAAACTTATTTCTAGTTAGTAATGTCAGGCTTACTTGTTGACTAGACGTGGGAAGCTGTCCAGTTCTCGCTTAGCGCATGTGCAGGGATTGATCTAGGTCTTCGTGGGGGCTGTTCTTTTTAGGTATCCTACGCAAGTAGTGTTTTATACCGGGATACTACAGTCACCAGTTGTCTTGCTTCACAGCAATTAAGGCCATGATTTCCCTCTCTACGCCTACTAAGCGGCAGTTTTGCATGAGAACATTTGTGCGATAGCTCACATGAGTCTCTTCCACACCTCGGGCGCCCACGGCGGCAGGCAGGCATACAGATTTGTTGATTTTGCTCCATTACCCTGAGTGTCATCATTTAGGTACTTGGGCCCTTAGGGTTATGCTCAACTTTATTCAGGCTCCCACAAAACTTCACTGCTCCTGCCAACAAGCGCAATTGATCAGTGCCCAATATCTTTGGCAGACGTTACAAAACTGCCAGTAGATGTTGAAAAGCATTGCAACCATTACTGGCAAACTATAGATTACTGGTTACAAGGGAATGAGTAAAGCAGGGGCAATATAGGGTCTATATTGCCACATTCCCTACTCACACCAGTAAATTAGTCTAGATTATTTCTCCGCATACGCCTGCCTCTTTGACTGACTGATGTCCGTGAATACTACTACTACCACCCCCAATATTGAGAATGAGTGAATCCACATTATAGCTCGGGTTTTCTATGAGAAGAATCTATGTAGCTCTCAAGTTTGTTAGGAGCTGGCAAGTTGGGTGTTTATCTTGTAGTACATCTTGTACGTGACCTCACCTCGAAAGGGTGAGTGCGGGGTTTGAGGTTAAGGGTTTAGGCTTTAAGACCAGACGTTTAAGGTCTAGGGTAATATGAGCAAGGGAAGAGTCTAATGCTACGTCCACTTGGTGAAGCGACGTCTGCATGACCCTAGAATACCTTAATCCTAGAAGACTGGTGATATGGTACACTCAGGACACCCTGAATCCAAACCTAAACAAATCCAAACTACAACCCGTATGTCAAGCTCAGGGTCCGTGGATGGCTACGTAATGTAAACCGAAGTCCATAATAATCCTGAATCTTAAGACCCAACTCTAAACTCT